TCTAGTAAACCGTGTTATGCAACACACACACACACACACACACACACACACACACACACACACACACACACACACCGCTGATTTTAAAATTGTATAATAATCCTTCATTTTAATAAAAGGGCCAAAAACTGTAATTAATTTGCTGTAATCACTCACATGTGCTTGTTTCGAGACCATTCTTAAAATAAAAATTAGAGGCTTAAGATTTTGTATAAATTCTTTAGATGTCACCACATTTTACAATGTGGCTCTATTCTGTCAAATATTTCTGTCATGTTGCTATCCAGGTTTGATTACCGGCTGTCTCTGGAAATTCCTGCGTTGTGTAAGCCTATCAGCTTATAGGTCCCATATTATGTAAAAAACACTTCACCATGTTTTTTTTTAATACTAATATGTGTCCCTTCCCTGTCAACCACCACAAATCATGAGAAAAGGCCCTAGGTGTTTGTTCTGCCCTCTGAGTCTGCCTTTCCACCATACACAATATGGCATGGCACAAGAAAGCCGAGCCACATCACCTTCTAAAGGGGCGTGGTCAGACACAGCTCATTTGCATTTAAAGCCACAGAAACAGAAACAGCCTGTTCTGAGCAGGGCTGAAATAGAGGAGTTTATGGGCATGATCTAATTCTGGATCAGAGTGGATATAAAACAAGAAACTTTGCAGTGTTCACATGTTTTAAGGAGCTCTGAGATGAATTAAATTATTGAAAAGGAGTATTATGACCTTTAATTGAATGTTAGTTTGACTCAGTAAGTGATGCATGAGCAGATTGTTAAGAGACAAGCTAGATAACTTGCAGGTCTTTTGTAGAGGCCTACTTTCGTAGACTTTTTCAAATACACCAGACTTGATAAATTCTGAGTTTAGACATTGGTACCAATGTAGTTTCAGTCAGAATGCTCCAGCAACACTTGTAGTAAGAATTTAGACCGACGCGTTTCGGCTTGTGGCCTTCATCAGGGTCCCTGATGAAGGCCACGAGCCAAAACGCGTCGGTCTAAATTGTTAATAAAGTTGATCTTCTTACTACAAGTGTTGCTGGAGTATTCTGACCTCTTCTAAGCCTTTCACTCTTCATGCACCTTGTCAGTTGGTGAAGTTTGTGCCACAAAATCCTCTTTTTCACCAATGTAGTTTCACCCAGAGTTACAACCCGACAGGTGTGTGAGCTCTGTGGTTTGTTTGTATGGATGTGTCAAAGTGCCCCCGACTATCTACTCCAAATGTCAGCATGTCCTTTACTGCCCCATATGTTCCATGTATTACCAATATTAGCCTAGCCTAGTGTATATTGGGATTTTTCGGTAAGAGGGCATTTTTAACTGTATACATAAATTTCTTGTTACACTAAAATACCATCAACTATCCCGGCCATCTCACGGGGGTTGTAGACAAACTAGAGAATATTTGTGTTAGAAAACATGGTAAAGTCTATTTTATATATATAATACATATTTAATAAATATGCATTACATCTCATTGTTAGCATTCTCTCATTGTGAAGGTTAAAAGCATGGTGATGTTAGCATTAAGCTTAAAGCACCACTTTTCTGTAGACTCTTGTTAGCCTGTGTGTTTTGGCTTTAGCTTCTGGACTTTACACTGGTTATAAACATCCTTTAATAACTATCGCAGCATGTATACAATGATTACCTGTCTGGCTGTTAACTGTCACCACAAAATGCGAGTTGGAAATAAGAACTTTCAGAAAAAGTGCATGAAGGGTGGATTTATCACAAATCAGACATTGTAGCGTAAAGGGGGAAATAAATGATTGTTTAAACAAATGCAAGCCAATAGTATCTGACTTTCTAATGATAATGATCATCAGAATAAAAACTATAACAACCTATTGGCAGCTGTGCCCCACCTTTGAGAGTTTACTCACTTGTTTACATACTGTAAAATCTAATCTCCCTGTCTTTGATACAGGGTCAAATAAAATCACTGTCTGCCAGGATGAACTCTACACCTCTTTCCCTCTCCCTCGAAGTCAAATAAACACAGATAAGAGAGGTAATTTGTGCACAAGGATGGGGGTTGTTTTTGCCAATGACAGTTCAATGGTCATTGCTCTGCACACACGTATTGCTGGTGTCTCCTGTTAGCAGCTTTTGTCCGGTTGGTGAAATGTTGCAGTTGGCAGATTCCTCTCTGTATTTGTTTCTCTGATGTTTAGTCATGCCTCCTCTCTTTTTCCTGTTTGTTAGAGTTGTTTCCTGACATTACAGTTAAAGACATTAGCGGTGCCGTTGTTGGGCCCCAGCACCAAACGGTGTTTGTGTTTTTTGATGTTGAATTTTTTTAAGTATCATTATGATGACCTTGCTATAAGATAAGCAACCCCAGACTGTTGAGCGTAGTGTGTCAAATATGAACTACACCTAGCCAGTAGCATAACAAATAAAACAGTAGTGCATTGTTCTCACTCTAGTATTTTTAGACTCAATTTGGGTACTTTTAGGTGGAAAAAAAAGAGATTAATAGGCTTGAAAAGTTGCCTTGACTTTTCAGGATTGTATTTAGAAAATGCTTTGAAGCACATTTTTTTCCTTGATGCAAGGAAGTTTAAATAATATACCTTGACCTTTCATACAAATCAAATGAAATTCAAAGTGCTTTACAGCGACTGAAAACAAGCGAATAATAAAATGGTACCAACAGAAATGGATTTAGACTAATGTACACCAATGGCAATAAAATGTACTAAATAAAAAGGTAAAAAATATGTATGATAGATGTAGGATACGAAATCATAATTTTACAGCAGATTGTGCGGTGCAGCCAAAAATGAAACATATTTTCCTGTATGACGTAGGGCTGGGCAATATATCGAGTTTTTAAGATATATCGATATATTTTCAAACAAGATATAGGGTCAGAAATATCGTTATATCGATATAGTTTAAGTTGCATTAAAATAACGTTACAGAGGTGCCAGGTCACTTTTTCTCATCTCACTGCTGATGACTGACTGTCTGTCCCTCTTTACCCTGCTCCTCCTCTCTCTCTCTTTTATTGTATTTAAGGAACATTTTTATTTTATAATATTACTTTTTAAATTCACAAACAGGTAGTTTATTTTCCATGTGTTTTCACTGTTAATAAAATACATATCAATATATTTCGAGTATCGCCATTCAGCTAATCAATATCAAGATATGAGTTTTGGTCCATATCGCCCAGCCCTAGTATGACGGATTAATAAAACATTACAGTAGGTGGGCTGTGCCTGTGTTAATATTTTATGTTGAACATTTCCTACTCTGATAAGGCTGTTTTTCTTACTAATGAATATGGAGAATACCTATAATTAGGCCACTGCAAAATGATCAAAACATAATAAATGACTATTCTCATATATCTTTATATTCTCAGCTCTGATTGCAGTGAATAGAATAGAATAGATGTTTATTTCCATTTGCACAGGTACAGGACAGTACAGGTACATTGGAATTCGTGTGCGTTTCTCCCTGAGTCAGCTTCTACAAAAAAAAAAATATATATAAAATAGACTAGCATTGTAAGAAAAAAAGAGTACAAAAAAGTACAAAAAAGTAAAAGTAAAAATAAGTAAGTTGTATTAACAGCTAAGTAAATTCAAATAAACTGTACAGAAGTTATACACTGTATTAAAGCAAAGATATAATAATAATAATAACTTTATTTATATAGCACCTTTTAAAAACACAGGTTTACAAAGTGCTTTGACAAACAGCAAAAACAAGAACAAAGCAAACTAAACCAAACACAGAAGAATATAAACAACAGCAAGAACATAACAAATGCAAAATACTAAAAATAATTAAATACAATTCAACAGAAAAGAACCCAAAGTGCACGATACCCAACAGACATATTCAACCCGACCATCACAAGAACCATCATAAGAACCATCATAAGAACCCAGGCAACACAAGAACCCAACAACACGAGCTGAGACCAAGAGGAACCAAAGATTTAAAAAGATGTAAGAAACTAAGAGCTGAAAAAAAAAGAAGATAAGAGCAATAAGAAGGTAAGAGCAGTAAAAGAAATAGAAACAAGTGGTTAAAGGATCAAAAAACCCAAAACTATAATATTAATAAAAATAAAAAGTAAATATAAATATGAAACATAAATAGACAAAGTAAGATAAGAAATTACCAAATTAAAACACAAGAGGAGATTAAGATATGAGCATAAATATGAGATAAGAGCATAAATAAAAGAACAGTAAGAAGTAAAAGAAGATAAAAAAAAATAGTAAAACCAGTAAGAGAAGACATTAAGAAGACGACATCACATAAAAGCAAGTCTGTGAAAGTATGTTTTAAGAAGGGATTTAAAAGAATTGAGGGAATCTGAAGATATAAGTGGTAACATTAGTTGTGGTTTTATTGATTTTAATGAACTGAGCAGCTAAGCTTAACCAGCGTTTACATAAATATCGATAAAGTTGAACTACCTAAAGTTGTTCACTTAATTTGTCTGTCTACTCGCCGTTATATTGTATAGTTTCTGTTTATAATATGTCTGCACTCATGCACTTTAACTTATGTCAATACTGTCCATTTACTACTGTTTTTGCACATTTACATTCAATCTTCCATATTTAATCTTCATATTTAAGACTAGTAATGCTAGTGAAATCCTGGTTTTATATATTCACATTCTTAGTTTTGATATTTTTAGTACTTTTTACTTTGTAGTTAATATTATATTGTGTTTAGATTTGCTAACATTGTGTTGTTGTTTTTTTTACTCATATTGTGTGTTTGGATAACCAGCTGCTGTAACACCACAATTTCCCAGTTTGGGATCAATGAAGTAATTCTATTATATTCTATTCTACCTTGTTCTGTGTTTGGTTTTTCTAATTCAGGGGAAGTGGTGGTGAATGTGTTTCCTGCCCTGTGTCTCCCCCCTCCAGAAACACACACACACACACACACACACACGCACACACACAGCCGTAGCTTAAGTGAATGCAGAGAGAGAGAGAGAGAGAGAGAGAGAGAGAGGAGGGGAAAGCAGAGCTTAAGCGAAAGAAGGTTAGCCCAGCAGTGAGTTAAGAAAATGGCGATCATGCAGGACGGATGCCTCCCCCCGCAGATGCTGCAAACGCGTTGAAAATTTCTTTTTTTTTTTTTAGCCTTACAGCCGGCTTTCCTTTCCACTCTGTTGCACTTTATACTTCAATGAGGTACGTTTTGCTTTCACCTTTAACACGATTATACACAATATAACCACGTATTTTTATTTATTTTTTTATGTCGAGCTTTATGTACACACACAAGCCGAGAGAGAGAGAGAGAGAGAGAGAGAGAGAGAGAGCCCGGAGCCGGAGGAGACCTGGCGTTAAGACAAGCTGAGCAGCCCGCTGTTGTTTAGTTAGCTGCGACGCGGCTAAGCTAAGCTAACTAGCCTCCTCCTCCTCCGGCGGCTCGATTGGCATTTTTGCAAACAGACAAACAAAAAGGAGGATTTGCGGGTTTTTTTTTTTTTTTCCTTCTGCAGGTTGCTGAACACTTCACGTCGTGTTTGTGTGACAGGCAAGACCTTTATTTCCCCCCCCCCTGTATTCGTTAAGGTGCAGGTTGTTCACCTTTTTTTTTAGTGTGCTAACGCTAACTGTGATCGAGTGTTGGGTTAACCTTAGCTCGGACAGTTGTGCGTACTTACTGACAAAACGCGAGGAAATTATGTTTATTACTGTTTCATAGCGGTTGTTTAAGCGCGATATTTAACAGCTTACATATTCCATCAACCACCGGTTTTTATTTTAAGTCGTTATCTCGCTTAATTTTAAGGGGAAATATCGAGCCGCTTCGTAACGTTAGCTTTCTGGTAGCATTAGCAGCTATGCGATTTTTTTTTTTTTTTGACGACGCAGGTTTTCCCTTCAGGCGGCGACTCCTGCAGCGCATTACTCCACTGTTTTGTTATGAAATGCAAGCTGGAGACTGACTTTAACGTGTCTTTAAATTATTATTTTTTTTAAAAAAAGGTGTACAGTCGCGTTGTGTGAATGCACAATTTTATTGGGTGTTGTAAAAACCTGCAGAAATGTCGGAGTTTTTAACCCCCTCTGTCGGCGGAAAGACGACGCAGCTTCACTATGGCTGGCTTTTGCCGTCGTATTCTCCTTGTGTTTTTTGCAACACTTCTCTGCAAATACAGCAAAGCCGAATCCTATTTTTTTTGTTTCTATCCACTGATATAGGTGCGATATTAAGGTCGTTGTTAGTCTTGGCTGAAGCTGGGGGAAGGGGGGGGGGTACCAGACTCACTAGAAGCCATGTTGGTTAAGCTGTAAGTCAGGCAACAGCTGAGATAATGGCCGATCAGGACCCGTGCTGCAACTCTGACCTACGCACACACACACACACACACACTCTCACTCTGTGGTTTATCTTTCATTCTCACACGCGTATTCTCCAGTCACCTTGTAGGGGCCCCAGCTGTACGTGCACTGCCCTGTTATGCAGCTCGACCTGCATTTCAACTAATGGGCATACTCTTCATTCCGCAATTACTGGCTGCTAAGTTTGTTTGTTTGTTTGTTTGTTTGTTTATGCCTGTCTGTGGGTGGATTTTGTGGGTGAGGTGCATGGCTTTAACCCCGAGCACTATTTAAAAAAAAGAAATGTCAGTGCAGTTACAAAACCAATCACAATCACAATGGGTGGTGAAGGTTGAGGTACTAAACTTTCTTTTTTTTTCCGGCTTCTTTCTCTTGCAGAGATTCGGAATTGGAAGCTGTTGCCACCAAAGAAGCAGAAGCATCTAAACAGGTTAGTGTACAAAGCACAAGATCCTCGGATGCTTCTGTTTGGCTTTGAGTACAACCTAGTAGTGTGTACCTCTGTATGGTTGGGCTGCTAAAAAGGGGGTGTGTTGGTCAGGGGAGGGGGGGGCACAACTGCTGCTTATGCAAGCACATGCAGTTCCGTTTGAATTGAATTGGAGGGTCTGGGTTGGTCTAGGCTGCATTGTGCTGAGTAAGCTTTGCTGTTTTAAAATCGCTAAATGAGAAGCCAGTGTCCTGATGTTTTGTGTGAGGAGAGGTGTTTGTGCAGCACATTGTGTCCAAACAGTTGGTTGAGCAGGCACACAAAAAAGAGAGCCACAGACCAAACTAGTGACCCGCCTGCTCTGAAGGCTACATTTAATCTGATTTGAAATGCTAAACGTGTTTGCAAGTATTGATATTGAGCACAGTTTTCGAGAATAATTATTTTGGACTGTGTGTGGTCATAGAACACCTCTGTATCCATGCATCTTTATTGTTGCTGTTTGTTGTTTTCAGTGTTTAAGGGGGGGTGGGGTTTGTTGTTGCTGGTTTATACCCATCTCCTTCAATGTATTTGTTGTGATTCATGGTCTGAAAATAGTTTCTTACTAATGACGTGATGTTATTTCTATCGTGCTGGTTTATTTTGGTTGCTTGCCAAAGCCAGTTGAAGATGATATCTTTGGATTACAGGGACATAATGTCTATTAATGTGTATGTGGGAGTATTTTAAGGGTTAACTATTCAATAAATGAATAGTAAGAAGTTTAGTTTTTTTTTATGTGTTGCCCACAGTTGTTTTAAAATGTATCACACTGGTATCATACATACTTTTTTTAACCTCTAATTTAACACAGTGTAACACTTAATTGTGTTTATGTTCAAAGGAATCAGTTCTTAAATAAACCTAGATTCAGTCTTTATTTTGTTTCTATAAATAACACACTGCCAGCAGTACAGCACTGCTTAAGGGCATCTCTGTTTCAGTTCATAGTTGGTAAAGTGGTTTCAATTTGATATAATCAGGAGAAGTCCTGTCGTGTGGATGTTTCTATAAAAGGAAAAACCCCGGCAGCGTAAATGTGATACATTTATACGTTTTGTGGCACCAGTGGGGACCACATCCTTCGGGGGCAAAAACTGAAACAGTTTTAAGCGCTCAAACTCTGAAGCCCTCTAGTTACGCATAAACAAATCCGACTGTGAGTCAGTCTCTAGACACAGCCTCACCGTGCAGCATGCTCACAGATACTCACAAATCCAGTTTCTTTCTTGTGGGTCTGTAATCATAACCCAGTGTAAAAATAGCGTATGATTAAGTGTGACTTGTGTTTATAAAATCGCCTGCTCTCTTGGTCCACTTTCGTTTTATTTTTTTTGGTTGTCTGGCTCCATTCTCGAAACTATTGTTCTCTAACTTCTCGTCTAAAAATATCCAGCGACTTCCCAAGAGGTTTAAGAGGTGTTGAAGCCGAAGCACTGTACACTATATTTGGAATTTGGTACAGCAGTGCTATAAATTCATAGCTGCTTTGCTTGAGGATTATGTAGTGACCATTGCCCCTGTGAGCAGTAAAGCCACACCTGCAGATAGTCATGAGACTGAAAACAAGCTTTTGATGCCGTCGTCTACACACTCGGGCAGGGTACATAGATTCAAAGACAATTTGAAGTGAGCATGTTATTTTGGCTATATCCAGCAGCTGATGTGCCTTGGCTTTACAGTGCTTATTGATCAATGGAGCTGACATAATAACTTGTCAAAAACATACTTTTGAAACTTGAACAGGTTTAGACCTGTATAACTTAATTGTAAAGCTCCTGTGAGGTTTTCTTAGCTAGTTATAAAACAGAATCTGCTATAATGACAATGTGATCAGGATGAGACTCTCGATTTAGAAAAATACTGCGTTCAATTGTTCAGGACTCATTTAGCAAAGAGAAATCATTCCTTACGTTGTCCACAGGGGGCATCAAAAACAACATAAACCAAAAGTTTCTTACAGGAGCTTTACATATTTGTCAGGGGTGTCACTGTTCAGAGAGGTCACAGTTTGGTACATACGTCGGTTTTGGGGTCAGTTTCCGTTCAACAGGAAACATAAAATCCGGGATGCATTTTTCTAGGTTTCTCTCATTTATTTTAAACTGGCGTATCACAGTTTATTTAATCTTGTGTCATTCTGAATCTGGGCTACTGCTTGACGCGTGTTAAAAATTAAACAAAAAAAAAAGCTAAAATAGAAAACGACACATAAATTAAGAACATATCCTGATATGACAAATAAAATATGTGCCTTTAGGAGCAATATATCATTTATGATTCATTTTTATTTTATTATGCACCTCTTACCAGCTCGAAATGATCACTCCCAAAGGGTGCCGTCACTGTGAGCAGGATTGGACATTATGCACTGTAATACAAACTTGAATCCGGGGCCCTCTACTACTGCATTAGCACACATACCCAAATGAGCTTCGCTAATGTCTGTGACTCTCTCTGCTTTCACATCCAGAGGCTTTTTAAAAACAGTGGGGATAGGTTGTTCGGGACCTTTTTTTCTTCTTTCTTTTGCCTAGCTCCAGTGTTTGGCACCTCAGGGTGATGCAGTCTAATTTTTCATTAGCATTTTCGGCATTCTCCCAATGAAAAACCAAACTCGCACCCAAAGTTTCTCTGCTCAACTGATCTTAAGAGGCAGCTGGATACTTCAGGCTACGCTGTATCATCTGGCTGCGGTATATTACTCTGCTTCTTTGTGTGTTTTGTTGCTTCTGCTACTACATCTTCTTCTCTTGCCAGAAAAAAAAAAAGAAGTTTCATGACCTGAGATGCACCGACCTGATTTTGACTGCAACGTCATGTTTAATGTAGTCGGGCAGGAAATGTCACGTCTTGCAGTGCCTCACAAAGCCTTCGCTCTCGGGCTGTTTGTGATGAGGAGGCACTTGCTGTCATTGGCTAATTGAGTGATGGCTTCCCTGAACGGAGCCTCCAGTGTTCAGCATCTGTGAGAACATGCTAATTCAAATTGATGCAAATGATGTAATGTTGTACATGCAAATTAGCCACGCGACTACCCCCCTGGCTTTTGTTCTTCAGGCACAGACAGAGTCTTTGGAGTGTTTTCTGATGCTAGTGTTCCTCAGCTTGTGTTTGGGTGTTTGTCTGGCGTGGATGTGTGAAACCTCACACGATCAATACCCCGTCTCCTATAAATTATAAAGTACTTGCCATCTTCACTGTATGACTCAATTTGAAGGAGAAAAACACTCCTACAGGGTCATGGGATGCATCTCTACGAAGTCTTAGAATTCTTTATATCTCTACTGCCTCAGAGACACAAATATCTTTGCTTATTACATTTTTTTTTTTAGCTTTCTTTGACAGAAGGCGGAAAGAAAAGAGCAGGCTGTGATTCCTACATGTGTTAGGGTGAAGGGATTGAATGCTTGACTGTAAGCAGGAGATCAAAGGCACTTTAAATTACCACCGTACACATGTTTTGAATGTTTTTAAGTAGATTCTAAGTCTACTTTGTGGACTTTAGAAGATTAAATTTGCCTTTAGATAAATATTTGCAGTAATACGCTTTGTCCCATTTATGTGAAGCACATTGGAATGTGAATTTAAAACAAATGTATTTTTATTAACGTTAAATCTAGAGATGGCACTGCCGAATAAATGAAACTCATTTGTGATATATAGTCATTACGTACCAGTTCTTCCTCTTGAACCCTGACCCTTGTCCTGATACACACAGATGCAGCCATGAGCTTTAAAGGTGAAAGTTGAGATGATTAGCCAACCCAGTGTTGTTTGCCAGTTAAATTTCATTTTGACTCTGAGGGTCACTAAACTTGGAGGCTTAATGTTGTTTCTGCACAGTTATAATACATTATACAATTGTAAAACAAAGACAGAAGGAAGCATTTAACTACAGCTGCTTTTCTGGTTCAGAACAGTTTTATTGTTTTGAAGATGTTGCTCTGCTTCTTTAAGTGAAGGAAACTGTCCGCAATAAAAAAAAAATTACAATGTGGGGCGCCGTATAGATTAGCGGTTATGTTGAGAACCCCATGTACAGCGGCTACAGTCCTCGTAGCAGCAGTGGGTTCAAATCCGGCCTCGAACCCTTACTGCATGTCATTCCCTCACTCTTCTTCTTTTATTTCCTGTGTCTCTTTAGCTATCTCATCCAATAAACGCAAAAATGGCCCAAAAACATAACTTTGTAACATTCATTGTAAGCTTTTTTTTGGGGGGGGGGGGGTTCAAGTTTTTCTCTTCTTGATTTTTAATGAAATGTAAAAGTAAGAACCACAAAATGTATAACAAATTCATGCTTGGTCTTCCTCCCTCTCATCTAACACCCTCCTTCCCCTCCCCTGTCAGCTGTAGCTGTCGGGGGTTGGGCAATTGTTGGCCCATTCATAAACAGATGCTGTCCATGGTGTTTATGTGTGCTCTCCAGGAGGGCCCCCACCATGCTTCGCTGCTGTTGTTGTTGTTGAGTCCGGTGCCATCTGCTGAAGTGCTTGATGGTTGGAGAGGAGTGCAGGAAGGAGATGGGGGGGAGTGTGGGAACAGAGGGAGGGAGGGGTGTGTCTGTGTGTGAAGGTGGTAGGCTGCACTGTGTGTGCATTTATACTTAATTATTATAGATAAAGGCAATCGGTTGATGTTATCTGGTATTTATGAATGTTTAAAGAAAAGTTAAATCCATTTAGGCGGGGTTAGGATTTTTATGGATTAATCTGGACTTCTGACCTGAAGATGTGTGATCTTGTGAATCATGCAAATCTTTAAAATAGTAATCCAGGGGTTGGCTATACCATTGTGTACTTACTAAAAATAAAAAGTCAACAGTGTTTCTAAGATCAGTACAGAATTGCAAGTGATGATAATGGGTACATCATTTTGTCGAAGGTTTATTTTTGGGCTTTTGATGCCTTTATTTCGAGATGGGACAGTGGATAGAGTCAGAAATTGGGGAACGACATGCTGGAAAGGTGCCACAGTTTGGATTCAAACCCAGGCCATCCGCTTGGAGGACTACAGCCTCTGTACACCGGGGAATGCGCTAGAACCACTACACTACCGGCGGCCCCATTTTATTTTATTTTATTTTATTCATTATGTAGCAAAGGACTTGTTGTATTGAAATCAAGGTGAAAAATGTGTTTTTGTTCTTTGCTTGAAGTCAGTTACTGCAAGCGAACCCATAAACTATCTACTGTGGTGAAGTCGTGCACGTGTTTGAAATGTTTTTATCATGTGGACGACATGTGCCCATTATTACATCCCCAGATGTCTTGTTCGTTTTGCACAACCCAAAGAAGTATTTAGTTTACTGTCACAGAGAAGCCCGACAAACCAGAAACGATTCCTGTATTTTTAAGCTCAAATGAGAGAAAATGTCCTTTACATCTTTAAATATTATTGAAATCATCGATTATCAAACCAGTCAGTGAATCATTTAATGGTTGACACTTTATATATTATTGTTGCAGCTGTAATTGTCCTTCCATCACTTTCCTAATACAATAACATTTCCCAAATGATGACATTGTATTGTACTTTGATTAATTATCCCATATTAGAACATTTCAATATTTCTAGTCAATGTGCATATTATCCATATACTATTCCAATGATTGAAACAGTGCAATGTGCAGACATGCTGTCTGTTGAGTGGTGTGAGCATCTCCGTACGTATGTCTGTTTATAGCTAAACTAAGTGCTGTACTCTAATCCCATTATAGGATTAGTCTGCAGCCTGCAGCTTTCTCCTGCAGGCTAAATGGCACACCCACCACGACGACCAGTGCAGCTAAATGCAACAATCAGTAAAAGAGCCACAGTCTGATTACATTTCTAGTTGGAAGACCTTCATTTTAGTATATTGTCTAAAAAAAATAATATTCTTCTCAGTAAAGTGTTGTGAAGAAGTTTAATTTAAAACCTTCTGATGAAAACATTGATGCCATCACATGCTGCTGTAGCTTTCTTGTCTTATTTGAGGATTATTCTGTGGTACTCTCATCCTCTGTAACAGCCGTCTTAAGTTCAGCTTGTAGGAACCATAGTGCTTCCTACACATAGACTGTAACTGGGCAGGCGGTCCAAGTATCAGCGCTGTTGTCATAACCAAATATTATTGAGTTCCACATTTGAAAACAGAAGTTGTGTTGTTTGGGCAACTTTTAAAAACGTACAGCTGATGAATATGGACCTGCAGTGGTAGGGCACATGCTATTTGGTCTTTAACTTGAAACCAAGAATGCATTTTATGTTCAATATAAGTAGTGTTGCCTCCTGTTGTTCACAGGGTACATACCCATAGAGGGAAGAACAGTGGATGGAAGAGAGAGAGAGACGGAGAGTGTGAAGAGGAAGAAGGATAAGACGATACAGGTCTGGTCAAAAGGTAAGAAAGGATAGTACGGTGTCTGTCATGTCAATTCAGGATGTGAAGTTTCATCTGTCAGGGTCCGTTCAAACATGATACCATCATTTATAGGGAGGTGCAACTGTATTGATTGAGTTGTTTCCTGTTTGATTTATTAGAAGCCCCTGCTACAAGGATACTCACTTCTATTCTTACACAGAAACTCTGCTTCAAATTACTAGATGGTTAAAAGAAGAGGTCCGATTACGTTATCTTTCCCTGATTACAAGTTGTTTTCTTTCTTCTTACATTGCACTTGTAGCCTTTGTTTAATAATGGTGGTCACCAAATTTAGGAAAGAATGAGCCAAGTATTTGCCAATTTGCCAGTACTGTGCATTTTGAATTTGGCTCTAAATTGGGTTGTACCTCCTTTTCAAGAGGACCATTTTGCCAAACATTTCATGTATTTCTAAGGATAATTTGATAATCTTGTGTAATGGCAGAATTGTACTCTTGGTAGTTGAAAAAACAATGCCTTCATTGCTACAGTTTAGTTGTGATTCATGAGTCCTGTAATACATATAGCAATTGTTGCAGTATGAGATATCTCACTGATTCACCTGTGAATCCTTTCACAATATAAGTGTGTATTTTTTACAACTTTTTTTTTTTTTTTTTTTTAAGCTTGAATGGTCTGTGTTGTCTTTTATGGTTTTCCCCCCAGTGCAGTGTGCTTTGCTCCTGTGACACCACTCGTGTCCTTTGCCATGTGACGCAGTAAGGTTTTCCATTTGAAGTGCAGTTACAGTTTCCATTGAGTCCTGTGTTTACAAGCCTACTACAGTTACACCTGAAACCCCCGGTCATGGCTAATGTAGGCAGGATGTCTGATAGCGTCTATCTCTGACCTTGAGCTAGTCTTTATGTGTCCGTCGCGCCTCTCCATCCCTCCCCTTCAGTTTGCTGTTAAAAGTCTGTTGTGTGTCAGTACAATCAGATCAGTCTCTGTAGTACCAGAGTGTGAGGTGAAACGTCACAGAGGCTCCCTGACTGATAATGCTTATACAAAAACAAGAGTGGGGTCATTGTTTCTCTGAAAAGACGCAGTGTCTATACTGACTGTGTCGTACTTACAGCTGCAGTCTATAGGCTGATTTACCCTCAGTGGTCTGCAGCTCTTCATCTGGAACCAGCTACATCAGCTTGTCTTCATTCCAGTAGGAATATAAAATGATTCCATCTGTACCACTTGTGACAATTTATTAACATTCAAATTTCATTTTCATTAAAAAATAACGTAGAGTTTATCTGGTCCAAGCTTCTCAAATGTAAAAATTTGCAAGGTTTCCTCATATTATATGAAAAAACCTTGGGAGTTCACCCCTAAAGTCCAGTTTTTTTGACTAGTGCGAGTGCTTCCTTGTTCCTGGCATGGTTGGGAGAGGTGTGCACGGGTACTGACTAAAATGACTCGAAATAAGCCACAAAGTCAGTAAAGTAGCTGTCCTGTCCGATCGCCCTTTTATTTGTTTATTTTCAAGCTGCCTGACTTGTTAACTAAGCACGCTTCATGATTGCGTAAAGCCATTCGTGTGTTGTGTTACGACGTTATGTACAAGAGGTAACCGTGCTCAGGCCCGGTTAAAAGAAAAATCCCTAGTTATGATCCCTTCTAATGGAAATGGACAAATGAACCAACAGTTTCAAAATCCCTCAGTGCTGCAGTTTAGTTTTCAGATCCAAACCAGGTCATGCTTTATAAAAAAAACTATCACAGTATAAAACAACTATTTCAGAACAATTTTGAGAATCCAATCAGGAAAGTGACTTTAATCTTATAGACTGGTTGTTGAGATGATAAAAGTTTTGTGTGTTTGGACAGATTAAGTTATTAATATGTCCAATGGATGGCTGAATGATGGACAAACCAGCTGAATAAGTTAAAATCTAAAGATAGTACTTAGTGCAGACGTGTCGTTTGGTGTTTGCGTGTGCCCCTCTGCGCCCCTCCCAACGATGACGTGAAGGTGGTAGACTGTATGATGAGTGCGCTTATCACCTCTTGCACACATTTTCCCCACACGCATGCAATATCACCTCCTGCGCACTGTTTGGATAGGCACTGATAATGACACCTGGACTCTAGTAAAAGTTTTTTTTTTTTTTTTACACTTGCTCGTGCTCTTCTGTCCTCCATGATGGTCTTACCTGAAACACGGAAATAAAACTCCAGGCCTGCTTGAGCTTCTCTAATTTACCAGGAGGGGTTTTGCATATTGGAGAGAGACAGACAGACATCTTGCACAGACAAGCCCAGAGGAATTGGGAGTGTTCAGGCGTGTTGCTATGACAACATGGTCTTTTCAAACAACATCTCCAGAAAATACATTTGGGAGATTTTCCCCAACTAGAGTTACAACGATTTCAAAAGAAATCAATTAAATAATCTATAACAATATACGTACTAAGTTTATACAGTTTAGAGAATCAACATTTCAAAGTTGCAGGTTATGTTCAGGATAAGAAATCAGCTTGTAGAAAGAAATGCACACTCGCCAATCAGATCTCTTAATCATGCAGCTCTGTAAGCTGATAATGTGAGAAGGAAGCCCAACTAACACCTCGTCTTATCTCTTTTTTTCTTTTACAAAGGAAAAATATGAATGTGAGCTATAAATGTTGCTATTCTGATATCATCATACAACAGAGACTGGAGCCTTGTTGACCTAAAATCACGTGTAGGCGAGGGCTGCACGATATTGAAAAAAGCTCAGATTACAATCTCAAGATAGCTATTAGCTGCCGTCAGAATAACTGATGATAATTAAGTGGTTGGAAAATGTGCTTTTTTTTGGATATATTTTGGGATTTAGGAGCGACATGCTGGAAACACAGGTATTTGTAAAGCCTAATGAACAGGAGAAATACATAGAAACTGAGTTATAGATACTATGCACGCTAACATTTATTTATTCCTCGCACTACATATAACCATTGAAATATTGAACAATGTCCAGGCACTTTGCATATTTTACTCATATCATGCAGGCCTAATATGGACTACCTTCATGAATATGTTCAAATAGTCAGCTTTTACAGAATCTTTCAAATGCTGTAAAGGCCAGCCTTTTCTTGCTATTCAGATTTACCTTTGTTTAAGTCCAACTCTTAACAAATACTTCTACCCTCCACCTGAGGTTTCTACAAAGGTAGAAAACGGGGTCAAAAACTCTGTATCCAAGTTAGTCTTTTGATCCTTTAGCTCTCTCTGTGCCCTTGCAGCAGTTGGCTGCTTGGACTCTTTTGCACCCAGAGGTAACCGAGTACACATTGTACTGGGTTCATGACTGACTTCAGGAAGTTGACCTCTGCTTTTTATACATGTTAGAAGCTGCAGCTGCATTCCTCTCTCATCAACCGCAATGACAGGCTCTTTACTCCGGCCTCTTTTTCACATTCCACTCCTCCCTCTCCTTACTTGAGAATCATTCATTTTTTTTCCTATTCTGTTAACATTTCTTTTTCTCACTCTCCCTCAGCCACACTCGCCATGTTTGTGTCTTGTCCCTATATTCCCTCTACCCCCACCCTCTCTTTCTCGCTCTCTCTCTCGGTCTGTCCGTCTGTAAGATGATAGCAGCAGTTGGGCTGCTGCCAGCTCCAGGGGCCCTCATGAAAGCCGTTCTCAGATGGAAGCAGGAGCCGAGATGAACAAACTGTACTCTGTGTACTGAACAGTGGCACTGAACATACTTGTATGGACTAGGGTTGAGCCTCAAGTTTTTAATTGTGGCTATTCAAGAATAACGTAAAAAGAGAATGCAATGGGAGCTGTAATCATTTATCAGCTAAATAAACAGCTGGTAGGTTTTTTTTTGCCTGAAACCTTATAGCAGCATTGTGTTTAAAGGTACATTGTGTTATGTATTTTAAAAAAATCAGTCTCATTGGTCATGTTGTAAAAAACAACATTTCAGCACTTGAAAACTTCAACACAATAAATAGACAAACAAATTGTGCACAATAAGTCCATCTGTCTGCATTACTTTGATTAATTCTGCCTTATAAGGACAACAGCCCTGTGTGTCTCTGCTTTGAATCGAATGCTTTGGTGTTGACGGAGGTGTTTCCATGCGGGACGGTTGAGTCAAGATCCAGAAGTGTAAACAAGCACAGCTTTCTGGAAAGAGGCTTGTACTTTTAAAGTGCTGCAGCTGCTGGAGGGAGCAAGTCAACTCAGAAGGCAATGCTTAAACCTCCTGCTCTGTTTATTTTAAGGAACAAGCATCATTTTAAGAGGCAAGATGAACAATACTTTTCAAATGCTTTGATGGGTGGGAGGTCGTTTTGTTATGATGACTTCATTGTACTGTAGTTTTGATCGTTTCCAGAGAACAGCGAGCGTCTTCTGGCAGCCTTTTCTGTTTAGATGTTGAAATGGTGGCGTATCTCCTCGGTTAACCTCTTCTGTGGAATTCTAAATGAACTCGCTCTCGGATAGGCACTGCATCAGTTTATTTTTTGTTATAATGAAGTTGTACTTGACACTAAACCATAAACGGGCCACTCGACTTATTAAAGTCAATCATTTGGAAAAACATGCCCCAAACTTGTAGCCTTGCATGCTTCATTGCATGTGCACACACAGGCCGCAGTGCACACACGGGTTTGTTTGTTCTCTTATCGTGCTGGCTAGTGAACGGAGTGGTTGCTATTTGCACTAAAGGTTTATAAATAGACATGTGTACTGCTGCAGAAGGCAGTGAGAGCAAGCACACTCTGTAACATGCAGGAAGAAAAGGTCAGGAGACACACACTTTACTTTCTCGCTGTCAAACACACCGGTCCACTCTTACTGAAGGATGACTGCATCCGTCTTCTCTCTGTTGATCTCTCATTGTTTCTTGTCACTTCACTCTCTTGCATTCCTGTTTTCCCTCTCCTCTAAGATAAGCGGTTGTGGTTACCACTGTGTCCTAGGACAGTGCTGCCAGCTTTAAGCTGGTTGTATAACCCTAATCTAGTCCCATACACATTATATCCCCTTAGTAGAGGGTAGGTAAAAAAAAAAGTAGTGTGAAGGCTTAAGTAAAATTACCATCTTGCACATTTGTGCTTATACATGTATCATACTTCAGTTTACCTTCAACAGGAGGGATGGGAATTATTAGTCTCGCTCAGTGGGTGTAAGAACAGAGTCAAATGATAAGACCTTGTGCACTGAGTCATTACATTAGTAGAGTGGAAGTGGCTAATGTAAAATAGAGCAGATTTTGTTCCACCGCATCAAGCCTGCACCATCTCCTAACTTACTAACTCACTGTCACCAGATGCTGTGGCAACTAAGGGGGTTCCAGGAGGGGACTATAAAATCAGTGATCAGCTGTGGTTGTTTGTGGAGGGTGGGGTTGGTAGAGAGTGAAAAACAACATTAAGAAATCCAATCTTTTGCCTTTTAGCAATGCCAGAAATAATCCTCATATGTGGAATGAAGAATTTAACCACAATTAGTCATGCTGTTACGCCCCATGCTGGGGAATCAAACCCACCAGTTAATGAACCAGTGACAACACCTGGGTAAGCAACTGCTCAGGGACATTCAACCAGACGGCAAACTGGCAATCACATCAGGGGTTAAGATCAGGACCCTTAAGTTGGTGAGGCATTCAGAGAAAACCTAGTTACAGAAGACTGCAGTAATAGTAACTTTGTCATTTGACTAGGTGTGGGGAAAAAACAAATGATAGTGGGGGCCTTTTGCTAATTTAGTAAGTCTGTCCTCCACTAATATCATGTGTTAGATGTAGAAGCAACCAATTTCCTTTAACTTGATGTTTCACACCTTGGTATTCTTGATATTATTGTTCTTTAACAGATCACAGTATTATGGTTGATCTTGCTGGAGACAGTGAAATGGTGCTGTGGTTATGAGTCAAACAGGTGACACATGAAATGCTCCTGAAGCTCTTTAAAAAAAAAAGAATACAAATAAAATGTTGGTTTTTGACAGATGTATCGTTTGACTGGTGCTTTTCTTTGGAATTTTTGGTTGCTTACACTCTCTTATCTCTTTTTTTTTTTTTTACCTTTTTCTGCAGTGCCAGAGCATACCAAGTGAAGGCAGAGTCCGAAATCTACAACGCACCCCCCCTTCCCCCTCCCCAAACACACACATACACACCAAAACGCACACACTTACAGTCCTCAGCAATGCCAAGGAGGCCTGATCAGCCTGCTGCCCGCTCTGACAAGCCCTGCCTCTTCACCTCAGACCCTTGAGGCTACGCCCTCTGAACTTCAAACTTTGGCCTCCCCTTCGGCGACCTGGGAACCAAAGGTCACCTGTTCGCCACTGAACGCGGGGACACCCTCCTGCCCAGCCGGGAGCTGCTGCCAGGAGCCGCACTCACAGGTAAATACTGAAAAGAGCCAACAGCAGGGAATAACAGTCAAGTCAGAATCCTCAAACACATTCAGGGCCTACACAAGCACAATGTCTGCCAATAATCAAACACTTGAATAAGGATGAAATCAATTTGACAATCACATTTTAATGTCAGTAAATGTTAACATGTGAGTTTGTTATTACACATAGGTGCTGATGAGTTTCAGCTTGTACTTCTGTCCTTGTAGTGCAAAATTGAATCATCCATTCAGAATGAAAACAAACTTTTTTTATGACTGGAATTAATTCATACTGTTGGCTGCTCTAAATGGCATCTTTTAAACATGAGTCATTTGGAGAGAAAGAAACCCTTACTTGTTGCTTCTTTTTCTTTTAAGGACAAAAAATATATATAGTGCAACATTGACCTTTTCTGTTTGGTTTCTTAAGTGTTTCTATATGTGCACTAATTTTCTGACTGTTAACTAAATGCATATCATGACAGCACAATTGATTGTTTGTCAAGCTTTATAATTAAGAAACACTAAAAATTAAATGTCAGCTCAAAAACATCACTCTGAATTATGCAGATCTCTATACCAAACAACTTATTAGCAGAGTAAATTGAATTCAAATATTGGATTAATCCCTTTTTTTTTAAATTTTTTTTTTATAAATGCTAACTTTGGTAGCTGCCAGCTGGGGCTGTCCACCAATACTTTTGTACTTGCAAGCCTTTTTTGCTTTAAACCCCTCTGACACTAACACACTTCTTCTTCTACATTTGCTTGATTCCCATTGAATATCCTATCTGTGCTTTGCCTAACATCTCCCCACTTTTTGTTTGCTGTCTCTCTCTTACTCCCTCCGAGTCTGTTTGACAGCCTGTCCTCTCTTTGTTTCCAGACATGGCTCCCATTCGGGATTCCGTCAGCCACTCCCCTAATCAAACAGGTGACTACACATTTCCTTCTTCCTTCTCCTGCGTCCCATTCTTGATCCAATGTCTTACTTTGGCTCTCTGCTTTGTGAGGGTCCCACTTGGTAGACCTTGTCTGTCCTGAACTTGAAAGATGGTGCTTTGTATTAGTGGCACATCAGAGAAACGCAGGGAAGAATGAGTGAGGTGAAGGGTGTGAGAGGATACAAGTGAGGACTTGGCAAGCACACTTTAACAGCGGCACAGAGAGCTGGGAACCAGACTATTTGAAAGAGAGAGCTGTGAAGTGAGATGTAAAAAGTGGTGAAAACTTGTATACAGCCATTTCTTTTCAGAGGACTGCTGGTGAAGAATCTGGAAAACAAATCTGTCATTCATCTGTGGTACTGTAACACCACATGGTGCAAGTATCCATCTACCATGTTTAAGTTAGAATTACTAAACCAAATCAAATCTGCTCAAAATTCCAGACTTTTTAAACTTTATTATGATTCACTTTTAACAATACCTTAATGTTTAAATATTGACAAAAGTTAATATATGGATCCATGGCGGTTGAAGCATGTAGAGGGGTTGCTGTTGATTTGAAAATACAGGCAGTTGACATTGTACTTAAATTAAGTGGCCATAAAAGCGAAATCAGGTCAAAATAGATTACTGGAGTCTTTTTTTAGAGACTCTCCAGGAGAATTCTGATGAGACGGTTTCTATTTATTTGGGAAAGTCATTAAGTTTCAAACAAAGTCTTATTCTTTAAGTTGCTACCACCTCCTCCTCTCTTTCCCTTCGCCCATCTTTTCAGCCTCACTTACCATCTACCCTAATGCCCTCCATCTCTCCTCTCCTGCTGATAATTATCCTACACCTCCCTGAATGCTGGTTTAAAGCTTTGGCATGATTTTGGGTCCTGCTGTGGTGACAAAGTGGTGGCAGCTGTGTCCGGGCTCAGGCCTGGCACTAATCACATGCAGAACAGTTGGGCAGCTGAAGGTTGGAGGGATAAAAAAAAAAAAAATATCAATAGTGGCCGTGAATAAAGAATAACTGCCATTGTTCTGTAATTAATATAGTATATATTTGTGTCTTATCATTTATTGAAAACAATGACACATCCACTTTGCTGAATGCTTCATTAAATAAACCAATATTCTTCAACTTCTAAAGTTGACATCTAAAAGAATAGGCCATTTTGACACTCTTCTCTTTATTCTCTTTCCAGGTCTGGAGCATCCTGGCTTGGACTCCCAGTATGAGCCTTCCCCCTGGTCCTCTGGCTCTCCCTGCAGCAGTGACAGCAACAGCAACTGGGGCAAAGTCCTAGTGGATGGAAGCACTGACAAACCCAACAACCCGTCTTCAACTAACTCCTCTGTTTGGCCTCCCCCCTCCTCTTCCTTCTCCTGCTCCTCGTCTTCTTCCTCCTCTGGCTGCGGGTCGGGATCAGACCCTGAGCTGGCATCAGAATGTATGGACGCAGACTCTAGCTCCTCGATTGGCTCAGAGAAAAACCTTGCCGCTGTGACGACAGTGATGATGATGTCGGGAAATGCTTCTCCTTCTGTGTCATCAGCGGCTTCTCCGCCAATCTCCCCTTTGGTGACTTCCGCGATGATGGTCGGTGTTTCAGTGAACGGAGACAGCAACGGAAACAGTCGTCAAGTAATTGGTGGAGGTATGGGAGCCATCAGCGGTGCAAATAATGGAAATAATCACATTTCTGGGCCCTCGCACTACTCCATGGCAGGGTCCAGTAGTATTGGCAGCAATAACATGGGTACCCACAACAACAAGCCCGTCAATAACAGTGGTGTGTGGGGCACCCAATCAGGCAGCAACATGATCCCCACTGGCGGAAACAACCCCTGCGTCAATGGAGGGGTGAACCCAAACACTTTAAATCCAAATGCCAACCACGGTGCCTGGCCGCAGAATCCAAGCCCAGCGTCCCAGGGCCAACGGCCTTCACAGGCTCAGGGGATGAGTTCTAAACTGGGTATGACTCCCCAACAGGGCCCCATCCTGGGCTGGGGTGGCATGGCAGCTCCAAACAACAGCAGTATGATGGACGACACTGAGGTGAATAATGGTACAGCAAGCAGCAAGGTGTTAGGAAGCAGCAACAGTGGAAATGGTGGTTTGCAGCCTACCAACCTGAACACTGAATCCAATGGACCAAATAACACTATAATGATGAATACTACTACTACTACTACTAACGCCACAATGACCTCTAGTCCACCAAACTCTACCGCCTCACCCCAGCTCAGCGGGGATTGTTCCTGGGGATCTATAGGAGGAGGTAATGGGGGTCCACTGGCTAATGGAATCTCCTCATCAGCCCCCCAGCAACCCAAAGGTGAGCTTGGGGGTCCTGGGGCCTTCGGTACGCCATGGGGCACCACTTCCTACCCTGGAGACAAGGGCCACCAAAATGCAGACACTGTGAACCCCCAAAACCCTGCCTTAATGCAGGCTGGGAATCCCCCAATCTCCTCTTCTGCTGCTAACAAGAGTAATAATAACCACAATAACACTGGGGCCCCACGCTGGGACCAGGGGCCTGCAACTAACCCAAACCAGCCTCAGAACAACATGTCCTGGGGGGTTGGTCTATATCAAGCCACTGGCTCTGCCGGCCAAACACCAGGAAATGGCAACCAAACCACAATGGGCCCTCCAGCAGGGATACCTCGCCCCTGGGGGAGCAGCACATCGTCTTCTTCCTCGTCCTCATCATCCTCTTCCACATCTAACAACAAGATGTCAAATGGAGACTGGGGATCAGCAGCTCCTGGTAACAACCATGCAGATGCTGGAAGTCATAAAGGAAACTCTGCCAACAATGGCTGGAAGAGCCTGGAGGATGACGCCATGGGCATGGGAGGTGGAGGTGGAGGTGGAGGTGGAGGTGTAGTGGGTGGAGGTGGAGCCCAAGCCTTGGGAAGTGTCACAGGAGTTTGGGGTCGCTCGGGAGGAAGTGAGGGAAGTGGAGAGAGCTCTGGAGGCCGATCAGGCTCAGACAGAGACCAGACAAAAGTGGGAAACCGTAGAAAAGGCCCCCTTGCTGCACCAGTAGTGTCAGCCGTGCCCCAGGGCGATGTGGATCCGAGGGTTCTGTCCAACACTGGATGGGGACAGACACCCATACGGCAGAACACCGCCTGGGATGTCAATTCTCCTCACAATCAGCACCAAGGTCTAAGAGGTGACGTACGAAAGCCAAACAGCGGAGGCTCAGGCTGGGGCACAGCAACACCAGCAGCTCCATCCCAGACCTCTGGAGGTACGGCTGTAATATGTCATCAAGAAATCTTTGGATGCAGTCTAGGGATAAAGTCACTTATATTTAAATATAAAACTAAAATGTAACAATTTCCCTTTCTTGTATTCTCAGGTTGGGGAAACGGTTCAGGCAGCTCAGGTCCAGGTACAGGTGGATCTGGCTGGGGAGAGCGGCCTACTTCTGGATGGGACAGCAAACCCTCAGCAGGTGGAGGATCTGGTCAGAGTGGCTGGGATGATGGATCCAGCTACAAAGGGAACAACAACAGCAGTAACACCTGGAGCAATAACATCAACAAAGATGACAGGTAGTTTATGTTTAGGAATCATAAAATTATTGTAAATATTTGACTGCCATTCATTTTCAAATGTTTTACTTCTTCTCATCCTCTATTGTCCACATTTCAGTTTCCATTTTACTGATCAATTACTGTTTCTTTGTAGGTCCAACACATGGACTAATGCCCCCAAATCGCAGCAGGGCTGGAGTTCCAACACTGGAAATGGAAGTGAAGGATGGGGGAAAGGTGGCGATGGTGCCAGACCAGGGGCCAGCAGTCACTGGGGGGAGCCCCAGAAAGGTGCCGGCTCAGCGAGCTGGGACAGCGACAGTGACCGCTCCGGCTCTGGATGCTGGAGCGAGCCTAGCCGAACCAACACCAGCAGCAGCAACACCTGGGTTGGGAGCGGAGGATCAAATACACCTGACCAGAGCACTCCAAACCCAGGTTCCAACTGGCGTGACTCAGTCCACAAACACAATCCTCAGAGTAACAGCCAGGGCTGGGGTGAGCAGAATCCCAAGCCCTCCAATGAGTGGGGAAAAGGTCCTGAATCCAACATGTCCAGAGGCAATCAAGGCTCCAGCAAGCCCACAGGTAGTCAGCAAATTTATCCAGAACCACTTTCCAGAGCAAGATTCTTCCCTTTTTTTTTTTTAAAGGAAAGTCCTCATTTGTAATTTTCCTTTTGTGTATTACTGTACTGTTAGGAAGACGAAATGGTACCAAAATGGAATTCTACTATTCTAGCAATACATAGACAGGCTTGTGGGAGGGCGTACAATTGATGACTCAGTTTAATTCTTGTTTTTCCTCCATCAGGCTGGCTGGGAGGTCCCATACCTACAGTAGGTCAGAAGGAGGAGATGTCATCCGGGTGGGAAGAGCCTTCTCCAGAGTCGATTCGTCGGAGGATGGAGATCGATGATGGGACGGCAGCTTGGGGAGAACCTGGTAAACACTCAAAAAAATCATGAATTTCTTCAAAAGTAGATTTGGTAGTCTTTAATTAAATAAAATGCATTTCCAGGTGCCTCATGACTCACCATGTAATAAAACCTTGTGTCTAGGTAAATACAGTGGTGGACCTGCCACCAAGTGGAACAGGACTGGCCAATCAGCTCAGGAGGCTGTGGGCCCATCCTCTCAGCACCAATCCCACCCAGCACACATTGTCAAGCATCCCCCTCAGCAACCCCCGAACCCTATGGCACAGGACAAAAGCTGCACTTCTAGTGAGTTTAAATATGAATTTACAGAGGTCATAATAGATTACTGTTTTAACTTAAATGTTTTTACTGAAATGTGTTAAGGAATAGAACACTTTTCTGTCCACTATTCTTTATATATTTCTCAAAGCTTTTACTATGAAAACAAATTAAGACAACTATGCACATACCCATTCACCTTTTGCATGGTTATGCATGTGAAAAAGAGTGATTCTAACACCACTGTCTATTGCTAGATGTGGGCAACCAGGTTAATTAAAATCCTCTAATTTACTATAAAGAGATTTTGATCATTGCACCCTCTTATATGTGAATTTATTTCATAGTTCTACAGATTGTCAGATGTACATTTCTGATAACTTGTGCAATTATACGTTGCACTACCTTGCAGATCAATGTAATTTAGGTTTAGCATTGCATTTAGGTAAAAAATAGAAATGCTAAGATGTGAGCCTGTGAGCCAGTACTTAAAATAGTATGGACGTGTTAGCGCAAGCCTTCTGGTGCAGTCTGGAAGCCATAAGAATAAATTAAAAAACGTGCAAGTCCCACCCACACTGGTTTTGAGAAAGCTGAAGCGTGATTTAAAAGATTTAGACCGTACAAACACAAAAGGTGTGGACACACTTATATTTACAAATGTATTCAGGAGCATACGCAGTTTGCACAGTAGTATGGAGAGAAAACAAATAGTCGCTCTCCCCCATCTCCCCATGGTGTTGTCTATGTTGAGAGCTTTTTTGTAAAGCCGGTTGAGTCATCCCTTTGGAATGCTAAGAGCATCGATTTTTCTCCTTCCACGTTCGCCTTTTTTTTTTTTTTTTTTTCCATGCTCCTTTTCTCTCTCACCCGCCAGCTCTACCTTCTGTAGAAACTCTGGCTTTTGTTGGGTTTGAGAGAAACTGAAAGACAGAGAGAGGGTGAGTGGTAGAGAGAGCTCTGGTGACTTAGTAATAGGAACGGTTCCAATGTAAAGTGGGGGCAATAAAAAGGAGGAAGACAGCTTTTCTGTGGCAGAGGGCTTAGAACTGGTAGAGCAGGGGGGAGGGGCTAATAGGGTTATTCAGGGTTGGTTACCAGTGAGCTAATTGGAGCAGCAAACTGGATGGCAAGTAAAGGTGGGGCAAAATAGCAGGCTATTGTGATGAGAAAAAGAATCAGGTCGTAGATAATGATTCAACTCAGGAATTTTTGTTTTATTTCTGTTAACATGAAAGGTAATTTAAGGAAAAAGGCAAAACCATCGTAGAAGATGGAGAAGAAAAAGTGTCAAAGAAACATGCCAATATATTTTAGACTCATTGTGACACCTCCCTCCCACACACACACACACCCACTGTTGTGCAGCCAGTGAAACAATGCTAAAGATACAGCTTAGAGTTACATTTTGTCGATTTGCCTGTCTGCATTGGTTCATATAGACACACAATAGTTTGTTCATATCCTTCGACATGTATCCTGCATGTATCTGTTCAGCTGTGTTTGTTTCTTAGTGTTTTTATGTTCGTTTACTTTTTGCGCCCAGTCACGAGGGACACTGGATCCCGAGGCCACCCCATGACCTGTCCTATTTTTACAGGGAGGCATCCCTAGCATCTCCCCAAGCGCCTCCTGTGCAGGGAGAAAGTAGCCGGTCTGGATGGTCATCTGTAACAGGAGCCTTTTGAACTCGTACTAACATAACCTCGAACATATTCTGACATTTGAAAGTGTATAGGAGCGTGTGCACACATCCACACTCTGACCAGAGTTAAAGTAAACAACACTTACATAAGCAGGTCGATAAAGGGTTCCCCAGGGTCATGAGCAGGGCTCTCATATCGAGCATAGGTGTCTGATTCCAGCAGAGAAACACATTATAAACTTAAAATATTGATGCAAAAATGATTGTATGCATTTTTAGGTCATCTTTTTGGCATCTGAAGATTTAGGGCATCCAAACTGGCGTGGCATGGCTCCTTTTATTAAGAGAACAGTATTGCATAGTTCAACATATTGCTTGTAATGCTTGTTGACACCACAAGAATTAAATCCTCATTCTAATAACTTCACCTCTCTTTCCTCCAGGCTGGGGCGAGCCTTACCAGAAACCCAAAGAGTCTTCAACATGGGGCGAGCAGACCAATGCTCCACCTGTGTCAGTGGACAACGGGACGTCTGCCTGGGGTAAGCCCATGGACACCAGCTCCACCTGGGAGGAACCCAGCAGAGGCAACAGAGACTCTGGACCTGGATGGGGCAACCAGCATAAGTCTGGTAGGTCCATGCGTGATCCTGATTACTTCATCTAAAATGATTGAAAGGATAAGAAGTCATGTTTACTCTTTGACTTTGATGCAAAGTGGCAGGAGTAACAACTGCATGGCAGCAATGTTACTGAATGTAGTCACTTGCTCACATGTAGTTTCTTCCTTTTGTAGCTCCAGGTCCTAAGCCAATGGAGACATGGTGTGGTGAAGAGGGGTCCATGAACAGCTGGGACCAGGAAGAGGAGGTGGAGATCGGCATGTGGAACAACAGTCAACAGGACAACCGGTCCCATGACCAAAACACCTGGAACTACAAGAATAAAACCTCCAACAAGGTTTGTACACCTCAGTGTTGCACATTTGTCCCACCCAAGCATTCAAACATCAAACTGTTTCAAATAAATACCTCATTTGTAAGTAAAAAACATTGTGTGTTAGAGTTTTGAACACTCTAGATGTGACAGAATAGAATATACTGGCAATAAAAGTGAAATTAAACTCTTCTAGTGGCTCAATTATCTTTCCTTTCTGCAATGTTTCAGATGAACAAACCAGTCAACAAACAGGATGAACCCTGGATGAAACCCTTCGTCAACCAGTTCAACAACATGAACTTCTCTGTAAGCAACAGTTCTCTTTTTTTTCTTTAAAAAAAGGTGTCTTTGAATGTTTTGATGTTTCATATATGGAAATATTGATAATTTTGTGAAAAACAATCATTAAAAAACATTTAAATCTGTGATTGCAGGGTGTTATTATTCTGATTGTGACGATCTATCTTGTTTGAAATATTCATCCTTATCCTTCTCTTTTCATCTCCTCCCCTGCAGAGAGACTCTCCCGACGACTCCATGAAGACAGGAGGTGGGATGATGCAGGACAAGCGTATGGACATGGGCAGCATTGGAGACTACAACGGAGTGATGGGGAAGAACCCCGGGTCCCGACACCAGCTCCACAAGGACTCAGCCATGGATCGCAGCCCTTACTATGACAAGGTACGCAGAAATCTGTTAAGTTACCCTAGTGTATTCTGAGTGAGGGGAAGGTCACTTGGGTGAATCTTTGGGATTCAGCAGCTATGTAAAAAAAAAAAAAAAAAACGGTACAACAACAATTTAACAAGCCAAAAAAAATTAGGTAGGTTTAGGAATAATAATTTACATGTTTAGTGACGTAACAATAATGAAGGTTGATCAGTGTCTCTGCACCGCTCATGAGGTAGGTGTGGAGGGGTTAAATCTGCTGCAGTTGTCTGCCTGGCAAGTTGACTCTCAGACCTGTAGCGCCCTTTAGTGGTTGGTCTAACACACTGCACACACCATTTAAAGGAAAGCGCCATTAAACACCTGTCACTTAAAAGCTGCAAAGGAAATATGAACACTTCCATAGTAGTGCGGCAATTACTTTATTTTACATTTCCTTTATTTATTTCTGAAGAAGCTACCATGTTTTTTTGGGTTTCTTTTACGTTGTTGCTTTGCTTCTGCTTGTTTCTGTTTTTATTTTCATCTTCTAGTGCTAGCGTCTCTTTTTCCTTCCTATTGACTTTATCTCTACTGCTCATCCCACTTCTCCCCTTTATGGTCTTCACACTCTACTTCAAAATCTCCTCTACTTTTTCCTCCTCTTTTCTTCTCTTCTTCTGCAAAATTAACTCTTTTCCGTCCTCTCTTTCTCTTTCATTCCCTCTCCGCACTTCTCTGGCTGCCGATGGTGCTTCCTGTCCTTCTGTGCTTGCCATCCATCTGCTGTGCACCCGGCCTTGCCTCTGCAGCTGTCTATGTCCTCCTCTGCTTACGATAGCCAAGCCTCTGATGAGCTTTCCTCCAATCAAAGCATGAGCTTTTCCCCTTCCAATTCTGCTCTGCCTGTCCCGGGTCTCGACTCGGGGCCGTCCCCTTCCCACTCTGGTCCTGGGGTCACTCGGCAGGTGAGTGTGGGAGGATGAAGAGGATTCCATCTTTAGGTCTTGAGCATCAGACCCTGAGATATTAAACCATTAGAATCATTTTGTTGATGTGAAAAAATACACATTACTCGAGCGGTATTCTTTCACATTCATTTCTGACTTTTAATATTTGTGGTTGTGCTTGCACGTGAGTTCATGTAAAAGTCGTAGTGTCAAACCATTTATGTTTGTGTTTTTGTGTCCTCCCCAACCCAGAATGTAAACCCTATGATGGGTGGCAGCAGCGTAGCACAGGGCCGAGGTGGCCCCCAGTCCCAGGTCCCTCCCCAACCCAACCTTCGTAATCAAGTGCCTCCCCCCATCCTCCCCTCTCAGGTAAGACACAAGACTCATGTTGTCTTGCATTTTTCTCCTGAGTTAAATAATTGGTTGATTATGATCTGCTCAACTTGATGTAAAAGTTTGAGAGTTACATGTACCTTCTTCTCTCTTGTCTGGAGTTTGATGTGTACTTATCGTCATATTTACAGAAAGACTATGTGAACTTCAACCAGAACTGTGTTTTTGGTCAGGTCCCTCCTTCCCTGCTAAAGTACCCAGGAGGTAACGGAGGCCTGAACCCTCTGTTCGGCCCTCAGCAGGTGGCTGTGCTCAATCAACTCTCCCAGCTCAACCAGCTGTCTCAGCTCAACCAGATCAAACAGTTACAGGTACGGTGATGGGGAAAATGCTCTGAAACACACAGGCACAGAGAAAAGAGTATTTTTTTTAATGTTTAAAATCACAAGCAGTGCTCTGTTAGAATGAGCCTGTAACACAGATTAGCTGTCAGACACTGTCACTTTAAGACCCCCTCAAATTAATTTTGAGATATGGTCTTGTCTATATGTTTTTAAAAAATATGTAACAAAATAAATCAGAAGATAATAAGCAGTATTTGAAACAAATGCAAGTGCCAAAAACAGCAATTCCTGGAGTGGCCGCTTGAAGCCGGCTCTGAAAGCAAATCTATTTCAAAGACTGTGGACGTAGTCTCGGTGACATCGCTCATTGTTTTCTGAAGAGGTGTTATTAAGCCCTAAGATAGGGGTCTACATATTGGAAATGCTACCTCCACCTTACTTTGGATCTGTCCAGTAACAGGCAAAGAGCTGAGGCGGGGCTTAAGACTACTGACTAAAAAGCTACAATGCACCTACCTGTCAGTCAACTCAGCCAAGCTCTTATTATTATATTATCATAACAAACTTGTTGTAAAAACTCACCCCCAGTTTTTACAAATAAACAAAGGAGCTATAGAGACCGACTTAGTTATTGGTACTAGGCTGTAAACATAATTATTTCTGCTATTAAACTGTGCATTTCGTAATTTCAGAGGATCATTTTCAAGGTTAAACAATACACTGTATCTATTCACTTCTTTGATTGTGATTACACTTTTATACAACACATCATGTATATATCATCTGCACTGAAACACATGTATTGAACCTTATAAAATGTTCCCTCGCGGTTTTGTTAGAACCGTGTGCATGTGAATCTGCCTATGAGTGCATCCAAAGTCTCCAGTATTGTGCAAAACATTACTTTAAGTTTCCTCTTATTTGTCTGCAGTGTCTTCTCCTCCAGCAGCAGCAGCAGCAGCAGCAACAGCAGCAGCAGCATCAGAAAGCTCAAAGCCAGAGAGCCATGCCAGTGGGACGACCCACTGAACAGGTGTGTGCGCGTTTTATAATCTAACTATATCTAATCTGTATCCTGTCCTATCACGGCCAAACACGTGTTGCCTCCTCTAACCTCCCGATTTCTCTCTTTAGACACGTCCTATTGGTTCGTCTCCTTCGATGATGCAGCCACCACGTCACCTGGACCCCTCCCTGCTGAAACAGGCCCCGCCCCTAAAACCGTACTTGGAGAGCTACTTGTCCCACAACGCTCCTGAGATGCAGAAGGACACTTCTGGTCTCGGATCCATCAGCAACTTCCCTTTAAGTACGTTGGCTACTATTCTTATTATTTTCTCGTAGTTAGATCAGTATATTTTCCCATATTTTGATGGTACTTTTAGGGGTACATTGTGACTGAATTTCTTCCTCTCCTCTTCTCCACCAACTCCCTTCAGGCTTGAACTCTAACCTGAATGTATCCATGGACATGGGCGTGGGCGTGGGCGGTGGTAGTAGTGGAGTTGGAGCTATGAGCTACAAAGAGCCACCCCAGTCCAAACTGAAGAAACTTTGGGCTACTGACCCTCTGGAGCAGAACAGCAAACCTGGTGAGTAAAGAACTGGGTCACAAACTGATGATCATCGACCTGTAGGGTATCAACTACCGTACATGAAAGCGTCTGTGAATGAATGAGTTTGAGCACATTTCCAGCCCTCTAGACCGCGTGGACTTGGAGCTCGCAATATGAAAAATGTCACTGTTCCTCCCCAGAAGGCTTTTCCTGGTTTCCGCTTGGATTCACAGTTTGGCTTCAAAGTTAGACCTAGATAATCTTTAGACATTCTTTCTCTGTGATCAAACGGTGTGTACTACAGCTCAAATATCAACAACAGCCAGTGTTCACTTTTTTACTTGCACTTGAAGCACACACCTTTCAGTATTAATGCCTCAGTTAGGAACTACGTAAAGCTAAAAATGTGGAAAATATGCTTTCAAAAAGTGTATGCATACAAACCTAAGACTCTGAACATTTAAATTGTCTACCTTTTTCTTTTCTAAAATGTTTCAACACTTCCTTTTTTTTTTTTTCCCTTCCTGTTTGTCCATCAGGTGCTATGTCGTCTGGTCTGCGTCTGGAGGACTCTCCTTTCTATGACTACCTGTCTCCTGGCCCCTCCCCCCTGAGTCCTCCCGGCCAGTCAATGGGCTCTGTGGGTGATGGCTGGCCTCCCCGTGCCAACTCCCCCCCGCCCCATGGAAACACTGTCACCTGGCCCCCAGGTATACATCCTGCCTCCACATCTTTTAAAATAAACAAATAAAACACATTTTTTGTTAAAACAATTAACCATTTGTTTGTGTTTTTGCTTGTGCCTGCAGAGTTCCGGCCCGGGGAGCCTTGGAAAGGTTACCCCAACATTGACCCTGAGACTGACCCTTATGTGACCCCCGGCAGTGTCATCAACAACCTCTCTATCAACACCGTCCGTGACACAGATCACCTCAGGGACAGGAACAACGGTAGGTCACACACTAAGGGACACTCAAAAGAAAGTAGGCTGTTGATAACTGGCTCTATTTTGGTTTTGCTTTTAAGTCGCTTATATTTTAGCAGGTCAGTTAAAAATGGATAATCTCTTAGGAATCTTGTTTGTTTTTAAACCAGCAGCTGATGGTCAAGCTGGTTAAGAAAACAGCTGTCACTGTCAGATTCTGTTATCAGTTCACACCCAGTTTCTGCTCCGCCAAAGATGGTTTATGAGAGCAAGATGCACCACTCTGTCCCATAAACTCTATGCTCTCTTTTTGTGACACAGGGCCATCCTCATCACTGAACACCACGATGCCTTCTAACAGTGCCTGGTCATCCATTCGTGCCTCCAGCCACAGCGGTTCCCTCACCAGTACAGCACAAAGCACTTCAGGTTGGTGGAAATCTTTACCTTTCCTCCCCTTTTGGTTCTGTGTTCTTTTTTTCAGACTTCTGTTTTCCAATAACAAAACACAAATGTGTGACAAAAGAATTTTCTCTCCCTTGGTCCTTGCAGCCAGACCCAATGAGTCAAAATGGTCTCCCGGCGGCGGTTCTGTGTCCAACTCCTCCCTGGCTCACGAGCTGTGGAAGGTCCCCCTGCCTCCCAAGGCTCTGTCTGTGGCGGCCCCCTCCAGACCCCCACCCGGCCTCACCAGCCAAAAGCCCAGCTCTGCCTCCTCCGGCTGGGACGGCTCTGCCCTGAGGCTGGGGGGTTGGGGCTCCTCTGAGTCCAGATACACCCCTGGTGAGAGCAAAGGCAAATTAACTGTTTAACCCATAGCAAGTTGTTTTGTATTTGTGGGATTATTACGGTTCTTAATTATTCTTCTTGTGCTGAAAATGGAAATGAGGATGAAACTGTTAACTGCAGAAAATAGATATTTGGTTCAACATAGAAAAGGAGATATTAATTTTGTTTTAGCTTCTTTTTTTTTTTTTTTAAACTCCATGACTTCACTCTGCATACAAAGCTTGTGTTGAAGCTGTAGTGATTAAACCTTGTGTGTATTGGCAGGTTCCAGCTGGGGTGACAGCAGCAGCAGCTCAGGGAGATCCCAATGGCTTGTTCTGAAAAATCTCACACCGCAGGTACGTGCACTTCGTATATACAATATTTAATGGGGCGACAGTAGCTCAGTCTGTAGGGACTTGGTTTGGGAACCGGAGGGTCGCTGGTTCAATGGCAATAGCATTCAAGTTTGTTGGTCTGGTCTCTCCATTACTGCATGTCCATAGGATCCTGTTTGTGCATGTTTATCCCTTTTTGTGTGTCTGTGTTTAATTTTGTGTTGGTGTGTTTGTCTCATAGATCGACGGCTCCACCCTGAGGACTCTGTGTATGCAGCACGGCCCTCTGATCACATTCCACCTCAACCTGCCACATGGCAATGCTGTGGTCTGCTACAGCTCTAAAGATGAGGCCGCCAAGGCCCAGAAGAGCCTGCACATGTAAGACCCCCAGACAAAAGCACACATGCAGACTCAGTACTTTCTAGCTGTTTTCACACATGTGCTCCTGAAAATTTGTCAGGACGCGCTGCCCCTTAGATCTTCCTGAAAACACCATCTTTAAAGCCTGGTTTATATGTCTGCTTTGAATCTACGTCCTAGTGGCCTAAATAGTCGTGAGCAAAGCTTACTTATGTGTCTTTGTAGCTCTTCAATACTCCGCCTGTCACAACACTATATATCGCTAGTGTCTGGTTTTTCCACATTCTCTGCTTTATTGTGTACAGGTAAACACAGAGACAGAAACCAAGTGTTATATTGGATTTGGAGGTGATGAATAGCGTTATAGCGTTCTTCCTTCTGCAGATTTGGAAACGGGGCCAGTAATGAAAATGTTCTTAATGCAGGAAACATGATGCTATCCAGCGAAGCAATCACAGGGCTCGCAGTCTGCATCGCTTCAGCTCAATGTTACATATTTGAGGAGGCTATGACTTAACTGTGTCTAAGCAGTCTGTCTAAAGTTAACCTGAGCTCAGACTGGTACATTCTGATCTGGTTATTTGAGTGAGAACAAACTGATGTGAATGTAATGAAGCAGCAGACACTCACTTGTCGTCTTTCTGCAGGTGTGTTTTGGGGAACACGACCATCCTGGCCGAGTTTGCCAGCGAGGAGGAAATCAACCGTTTCTTTGCACAAGGGCAGTCATTGACCACCCCCTCCTCCAGCTGGCAGACCGTCGGCTCCTCTCAGAGCAGGATGGATCAGTCTCACCCCTTCCCCAGCCGCGCTCCTGAACCCAACCAGTGGAACAGCAGCGACCTCCACAGCTCCTCCCTCTGGGGCGGGCCAAACTATTCCAGTAGCCTGTGGGGGAGCCCCAGTTGCACCGAGGTGGGCCGGATCAGCAGCTCCTCTCCAATCAGCTCCTTCCTCCCAGTGGATCACCTGACAGGGGGCGGGGACTCCATGTGAGCCGCCTGCTAATCAAACAGGTGCAAGGAAGGGTCAGTAGAGAATTTATCAATAATCAGCAGAAGAAAATGGGGGAAAAAAGTAATTATAAACGCAATGGCACTAGTCGGACTCTCTCTCACTTACAATATATTCAACAAAACGGGGTCTCCCTGTGGAAAACAAGTTACGTTTCTCTCTCTGCACATATGTCCACTTTGTGTTAGCCCAAAAACATATCAGTTGGAATACTTGAATCATGCAGGCCAATTCTATAATGTGAACAGATGGATATTTGCTTCCAGGTAGTGCTCTTTCAGACCGAAAAAAAGCTTCAATCGAGCTCATTATATTATATATATTTTTTGTTTCATTCGTCATGTTTATTTGAATTCCAATTCTTTTCATTTTTAACTTTTTCTTTTTAATTTTTTTTTTTTTGCATTTGTTGGCTGACAATGTTGGAGTATGAGCTTTTTTAACTTTGCACTGAATGTGGTTTTTTTCTCAGTATATATAATCTGCAATATAGAGGGAGCAGCCAGTTTTTCCAGTGTAGCTGTTTACTCATTGCGGTCCTTACCGTATGTGTGTATGCGTGTGCACGCGCACGTGTGTGTGTGTGAAAGTACTCTGTGTGTGTGTGTGTGTGTGTGTGAGATCGCGTGTGTGAACGAGTATGTGTGCGCTCCTCTCTGCCTTGGCACGCCTACCTTACTGCGTTGTCTTGGAGTTCAAGATCAACAGATAGTTCAAGAAGAATAAAAGCTGACTTAGGAGGATTATCTGGTGATAGTAAAAGTGACATTAAAAGTATTGCACCAATTTTGTTTTAAAACTAAAGAACGTTGAGCTCTGCAGTGCAAAGGACTGTAGCCGCAGCTGGGACTAGCAAGCCCCGCCCACCGTAATCGAGGGGGCGGGGTCTATCTAGCAAGCCCTCCCGCTAGCCCCCTAGTGGGCAAGGAGGGAACAGCACTTTCAGAATAGGCTTTCAATGTTTTGGAGGTGCCACACTGCAACCTCTTGTTTACAAGACTTAGGAGGCAGAAGGTGTGTTCATTCTTCATTTTAAAGAGAAGATGGAATAAAATAGAAAATCCTTAAAAAAATAAAAAAAAACTTTAAAAAAAAACTTTAAAAAAAAAAAAGCTTTAAAAAATCTATAAAACAAACAAAAAAACGTAATCTCTTATTGAGGATGAAGACGATACTTTGTAACTCTGGGAATTCGGATCAGTGTTTTTTGGCCATGGCGTTGGTTATTTGAACTATTCCTCTTTGTCTGCTAAATAACCAGCAATGGTTCTCAGGAAATCAAGCCAGTTTTCCCCCCCTTGTAGGTGAATTAAAAAAAAAAAAAAACTACTACTCCTTGTAGGAAAGGAAAATCCAACTTCTAGCACTGAAAACTATGTATAGGTCTGTAAGTTTTTTTTCTCTGCCAAATAACTGCTTTAAGCTGGAGAAGCTCAACACACTGCTTTCAATATGCTGTCTTGTGAGGGGGGGGGGGGTCCTTATGCTAGGGGCGGGGAGGGGGGGTCGAGGATTGGCTGTAATAATCCCCTCTCTTCTCCTCCTGTCCTCCACTCCACTGACGTAAAAATCTAAAGTGGGGAGTGTTTATTGTGTGCGTGTGATTGTCAGTTCTGTCTCCTTGTCAGACTTATAAACCAAGAGAAAGGCGAATCTGTATCTATGCATACTGTAGCCTCTCACATGGCCTACTGAGAGGCGTTTTTTTTTGTTCCAATGTCTGAAAATGTTTTAAATGTTTCATTGAGTACAACAAATGCGAAATATTACTTGCTTTTTTTTTCTTCGTTGTTTTAATCACTCTCATTGCCACAAATGGTGTTTTGAAAAAAAAAAAAAAAAAAGGAAAGACGAAAAAAAAAAACGTGTTTTGGTTGAAGATACTATTTTAACAGTGCAAAAGTCGTCCACATTTCATTGCCTTGATCCTATTTGTGTCCGAAGATGCAACAACAAGTCAAGTGGCTTCTACCTGTTTACAAATAGAATATGATTGTATTGTTGTACTGCTTTTTTTTTTTTTTTTTTTCCTTATTAGGGGCGGGTGGGAGGGTGGGGGTGTACTCATCTGAAGTTCCTGACCTTATGAATCGTGTGCGCATGTGTGAGTGTGGTATGTGAGGGGAAATGTTGTGAGAGGGAGGGGGGTTGTGTGTGTGTGTGTGTGTGTGTGTGTGTGTGTGAGAGAGCGTGTGTGAACAGCGTGAATGTAAACCCAGCAGTGTTGTTTGTTGACAACATCCACATGTGAACGCTAGATTCACCTTTCTAAAAGTGATTGTTTAGTTACTAACGATGCACAAATATTTTGGGGGGGGGGGAATAAAAAAAACAAAAAAAGCTTCAGAGAGCGTGTGTGAACGAGACGTCAGCATTAGCGAAGCCATGGACCTTAATTTCCTTTCTTCATCGTGTTATTATTTTTGCCTGTTGCGTGTGTGTGTTTTCCCACTTAACCGTGAGACGTTTTAATTTCAGAAGTAGGTCGTCTTTAGTTGTGTTTTTAAGTTTAGCCGTGAATATTTAACAACTTAAAAGCGAACGTAGTGAGGCAGAACCTTGAGTATTAGCCAGACTTGACATTGGTGTGTGCCAGTATTGAACTGCTCTCTACCAAATAATTTAAAGGATTAGTTTACTTAATTCCAGATCTCATTGCTTAAACTATATATATAAATATATCTTATTTGTTTTGTGTCTTGTTAAACAAATGTTATCAAGTGGAACATCTGAACCGTGTTTGTTTCTGTTTTCTGAGTTTAACTTAATCCTACAAATTGAACTGAGGAGCCTTGGATTTTGCACTTGTGGTTTTAGAGAAAAGCCGAGCGAGCGGATACAGAGCCATGGCGGACGGTGTTGGTTCGGTTTGCTTTTTTTTTTTTTTTTTTTTTTTTTTGGTAGGTCTGTCTGAGGTGGAGAAGGCAGGATAAAAAGTGTTTGTGTTGTGAGAAGATGGTGCTTTGTTGGCTCCAGTCAGGGAGCAAGCGGAGGAGAGGGTGGCGTTGGCGTCCTCGTCTCCAAGTTTACCTCTCCCTTCTCGCTGGGCCAACTAGTCGTCACAGGATGTAGCCGAGAACGGTTTAAAAAAAAAAAAAGAAGGTTTAAACAAAGGCCTCAAACTTGTATCCAGCACATTGTGGGGAAAAAAAATCAGTTACAGCAACCATGCTCTGTTTTTTTTTTTTTTTTTTTTTTGCGTTTTCGTTCGGCGTGTTCAGCTACCGTTCTGAACACAGCAGGAAGACGCTCGGGTCTTTAGATTGACTGAAAAGAGGCGAGGCTTCCCGTCAGCCCCGTAGTGACTCAGGCTCGGGGATGTGACTTGTGACTGGCTTTCAGGGACACAGGGTTACACTTGCCTCTTCAATTCTGGCTTATCCAGGATCAGCCCCCTCTCCAAACTCCTACAGGAGAGGTGGCACAAAACTGACAGGAGGTCTGAGGCAAGTGAACACTAAAGTAGTCGATATTCCCTTTGAACTCTCGCTGAAATGATCTTACACTTCGTTCATTCTGATTCTGCGATGCCTTTTTTTCCAAGTGCTGATCTAGGAGCAGTTACTTCGCTCTTCAGCATCTTTACCGTAAACCAATGAACTGAGCCCAGATCAGCAGCTGAGGAGACGGCATCGCTCTGCTGTTAGAGAAGGGATAAGCAACGTCTGTAAAACGCCTTTCATTGTCGGTGTTACTGTTTTATGTTCCGAGCTTAATCTCGCTCTGTCCGATCTACTGTTAGTGTGTGTGTGTGTGTGTGTGTGTGTGTGTGTGTGTGTGTGTGTGTGTGTGTCGAACATATTATCATGCCAAATCAAGGAGGGAGGGTGAGAGGGAAGGAAAGGGATTGAAATTTTTTTTTTTTTCTGGTTCTTGTTGTGTATGTGTGTACATGTATTTAAAAAGCTGGACAATGTTAAATGCTTGAAGAAAAAAAAAATGTCATTTGCAAAAAGGATGATGTGAGGAAAACCTTTTTTTTAAGTGAAAACCACCACGAGCAATGTACAATCCCCCGGGGGGCTGCCAAGCGGCTTCCTGACAGGGCCAGACAAGGGGAGTAAAAAAGATAGGAAGGAAAGGAGGGTAGGAGAGGAGGGAAGCTGGCTGGTGATACTACTTTTTAAATGTTTAAGAAAATTAATAATAATGTGACTTTAGTTCCTCTCTTGACTTCACTATCCTGTGAGCTAATGCTATGCTATATCATAACACCACACACCCAACAGCTCCTTATGTTGATCAAAAAGCGCTGAAGCTATTTTTTTGACACGCATACAAAAACAAACACGAAAACTGTGAGAATCTGCTGTTTTTTGTCATTTTACATTTAGTATGAACACAAACAAACCCTGAAAAGCTTTAGTCGAACCAGCACAAAGAAATGGGCGGGATTGGGTGGGGGTGGGAGGGGCGTATTATTGGGGTTGGTTGGGTGGGTGGGTCCAGTACAGAGGGGTGGGGTAGGTTTTTCGCTCAGAGAGACTATGCAGTGGAGTGTTGAACCCAGGCTTCCATGTCCAACTTGGGTTTTTTCTTGTTTTTGCTTTTCTCTTTAAAAAAAACGAAAAAAAAAAAACAATCCCAAAACTTTTATAACAAACAGCTGAGATGGGATTCCCAATAATATTCCTCAAACATGTTGTGCCATCGTTGAATCGTACTGCTAGTACTACTAATAATAATAAAAACTGAAAAAAAAACCTTTATTACCTAGCAACCGTCGGGCCAGTTGTAGCAGGAGAGGAGGACAGGTTAAGATTTGCAAAAGTCCATTTCTTTATTTTCACAGCGCGTCTCCCCCTCGATATGCCGAGGGGGGCGGGGCCGATGAAACTGCAAATTTTACACGACTACAATGTTTTTTATAGAGATTCTATCAATCCACAGTGTGTAGTTGGATCACCTGTAAACCTATTATGCACATTGCTTTGGGAGACTGTTGAAACTATATATAATATATATATATATATCTATATATATGAGAATATAAACGTACAGTGTCTATAATCAACGAGAGGGAAGTCTTCCTCTCTTACAAACAAAACAGGAAGAACCTTTTTATTTTCAAATGTCTTCCTTGGGTCATCAAAGGATTTTATCTGAAACTTTTGGGGAAAACTGCACTTTTTGAAGGACAATCTTTATTTGTATGGGTATAAAAATTGACAAAAACAAAGTCGCCTGATATTACAAGGTATAGAAAACCAACTCCAGTGTGCTCTAATAATGAATGCTCCTCTGATGCTGTCTATTTGTTTGGTTTCATTTAATCTTTTTATTCTGCTTTTGTTGCTTGGTTTGTTCTGTATTTTTTTTCTCTCTTTATTTTTCTGGATTTTAGTGCTCTTAAGAGAATCTGTACTAAGGTGTAGAAGTAGTAGGTAATAGGTCTTCTGTTGGCTGTACTCGTATACTGATTACTGTTTGTAACCTATGGCTCCTGCAGCCGTCATACAAAGCTGTAAAACTTGGGTACAACCCTCAATAAAAGACTAACAACGACTCGGGTTTGCACATGGACTCATTATTTCATTGACTAATTCCACAGTTTCTGTATTTAAATACGGCCATGGTTCTACAAAGAAGACAAAACAAGTCAGCTGTAACATTAAGACCACTGACGGGTTAAGTAAACAACACTGATGATCTCTTCACAGTGGAAGCCTGTCGGTGTCTGGGACATGTTAGGCAGCAACTTAAAACGTTTTGTCTGCAAAGTTGATGTTGGACAATGAAAAGGGATGATGGTGTGAGTGACTTTGACAAGGGTCAAATGGTGTTGGATAAACTACTGGGTCATCTCCAAAACAGCAGCTCTGCCACTACCTCATTTTTTTTGGGACTTATAAATTTCTGTTAAAGATTAGATGCCAATAGGAAATGGTGAGCAGGGACTTCTCACAACATTTAAAATAATATGCATGTTGGCTTTTCGCCTTCAGTAGATAGAGAAGGGAATGAGAGAGTTGGGAATAACATGCAGGTAAGTAGCCACGGGTCTGACTTGAACCTGGGTCGCCCGCTTGATGGACTGAAGCCTCTGTACGTGATGGATGACTTGTTTGGCAATCTGCGCCCACACTTCACATGCATTTTATATATTCCAAAGACTGGTTTCCATTCAAATGAAAGGGCAGAATAATCTAGATGTTCTCACTTTTTCAAAACTTTGTTGCCCGTTCTTGCTAAGCTAGAAACTCCATTCAAGAATCTGCATGTTCTACAGCTTTGACAATTTTATCTCTACAAAAAGGAATCTTGGAGGAAATCTCCAGATTGGAATAAAACAAGATCTAAAAGCAATGGTTTTAGGGAGAGGCTCTTAAAGAGAAACATTTCAGGCCCTTTTTTTTAAAGGGAGTCCACAGTCTGTGGGGCCCTCGGAGGGTCAGGGAGATCGTCCCATAGATTTGGGGCAGCAGAATAGAAGGCTCCGTCCCCCCCATACAGCAGAGCTCAGTCCTAGAGGTTTGGAGGCAGTTGGTAGCGGCAGATCGGAGGTGTTTGGGAGGGTTTGTTGGGTGAGTAAATAATTAAATATTTCCCTCCTGAGAGATCAATGGTAGAAAAATAATAGCAACCAATCTGAAGTTTTGTTTTTTTCAATAATTTTGTCAGAGGACCGCATCAGGCCAACGTGAAGTCTAAATATTGGGACATAGTTTGATTTCATTTCTGAAAAAAATGTTGCATACGCCCATTAAAAGCTTTGTGATGTATGCTTCTACAAGAACTTGTGTATTCAATCTTAAGATTTTTACACCTTCACACTAGTGTTTGTGGCTCTGATGTCAAATGTAAATCTTTATCTGTGGAGTCACAGACGTTCAAAGGATGCTCA